ATTTTGGTCAGCTTCCCCACTTCATGGCAGCCCGCCCTTGTAAACTCTCCTGGACGTGTCTGGGTCATGCGTTAGGGGGTTGGGGTTTGTAGGCGGGAAGGGGATTGGTTGGGGGTCTGCCTCTGGAGAGGTTGTCTCAGATGATTAGGACAGCCAAGTGGGGAGAGTCCCTCAGTGCCTGGCCTCCTTCACCTCCCTAATATGTTCTGAATAATTCCCCCTCCGCTGTGGGTTTGTTGTGGGGTTTTGCGGAGTTGGCGGGGTGGGGGGGGGGGGGGGATTATGTCTGGCCTTGGTTTAGGAGTGTTTGTCATCTGCCCCCTCGAGGCCTGCACCGGTTCCTTTGTTTGAGCGTCAGGCGTTGGTACAATGTCAAATCACACAATGCGCCTTTGCAATTAGGGTATCTCGGGTTATGAACTGACACAGGATTTCATGTCTGGATTTTTTTTATTTAAGTAACTTAATTTTAGGGTCGAGAAACTATAAAGCCAATTTTTTCGTACAATGTTGTTTTATTTGTGCATTGCTGCCTATTTTCTATTCTAACACTAAATCACTTTTTTTTTTAAAGCAATTGCGTCACATGATTTCTCAAATCTTACATCTTTGCTTATCTAGTTTTTTTCTAATTTGTAGAATGGGCTGTTATGGCATTGGTTCCAATGCTATCACTAATGCACTCTTGTTCTCATGTAAAGGCTGTTGAAAGGAATCTTAAGAAAAAAGTTATAAAATATTTCCATTCATCAAAGAAGATCTGTGATATACTGTACAAGTGTAACAGTATAGTAGGGGTTACCTTGAATCTAAAGCTTAATACTTGCTTTAGCAGTTTATATAAAGAGGCCTATTTCTGGTGCCTCAAAGGTAGTTTGAAATGGTCTCAAAGGGTAAATGTAGTTTAATGGTCTCAAAGGTGTTTCTATGGTTTTACACAGTGCATCTCTTTATGAAATTTGGAAGAAATATTCATTCATCTCCACACAATGGCTCACAAAGAGAGCACTGAGCCATGGCCAAATATCCAAAGTTATATTAAATTAAAATAAAACAGTTTTGCCACACGCAAAAGCTCCCAAAACAGTTTTGGAGGATGTAGGCGCTGTGGGAGAAATGGCTGCTGTGGCTTTGCATTCAAGCCACTTGGCCATTTGGAGCACCAGGAAATTACACACATTCCTCTTCCCAGTGACAAAATAGTCCCAAATCTAGTTTCCTACTATTTCTGTAGCTAAATGTACAATTTCAATCTTAATTACTTCACTTTGAATCGTGAAATTAAATTATGGTCTTGATTGCATTGCACTAATGACCATTTAAAAAAGAAAAAATCTAAATCCGGGCCTAAATTCAATGCAATACAAATTAAAGGTTTCTTTGACAGCTTGCCTGTAATTCCATAAACACTAGTTAAAATACAGTAAAGTGTTTTGAAATTATCTGTATTCAAATGCTTTTCTACAAAAATGTTAGGAGAAATACACATCCAAACATGGACAAAGCCTCTACTGCTAAACCATATTTCTAAAAAGAGGTTGGCAAAATGTCTTTATGCTGAATCAAATTGTGAACTATGGCAACACTATACTTACTTAGTCTCTCTTTCTCAGCTATTTTCAAGTCGAACTGCTGCTCATTTTGACTCACAAACGTACACTGCAATGACTAATCGTTACTTATCCCTTTGTCTCAATATACAAGTGCTTATAATGTGCCTCTTCAAGGGCGTACCTTTCTTTGCAGATGATTAAATACACCGGGAGATGACACCCAACAAGGTATTTTTAACATTTTAGCCTTCCCGCACTTGTGAGTGGCAGTTTTAGGTGTTTATGGTCTGCGTTTGTTCAGATTCTCACAGGCTTTTTATTTGACAGGGAATGTTTCAAACAATACAAAAATATCACAAGTTGACTTGATTTCTGTTTTTTTACTTTTAAGTATTTTCCAAAACCAAAACCTTTTACCCAGATTTTTTTTAATAAGCCCTTTAATTTTTTGTTTCATCAAAGGGATGTTTGTGCGTAATTTAGTTTTCTTGGATTCACGGTGATAGTCTGATTTGACCAATGGAACCATGTTTAATGGTCCTTTTTTTTATAGGTCTTATATTACATTGTAGAAGAAGCAGTATGTAGTATCAAATCAGTTCAATCTCGGTGGGATTTTGGTGGATAATGCTTCCAAATGTAGTTAAATCTCTTCCCACAACCTCAAGAGGTGTGAAAATGATTGAAGTCAATTGAATTTAGCTGACACACAGAAACATCTTTATTGTGTGACATCTTCTGAGACATAGAAGAAGTTGTAGGAGGTAAGGTTAAATCACTTGTAAATATATCAGCCTAAGTAAGTCAGCTTTCAAATGGAGTCTGACTATTTCTAGTGGTACAGAAAAGCAAATCTGATGTGGGTGATTATTGTTTGGGCAGGAAGCCTTGAATGTTTTGCATCATGTCTGCCACGTTCACCCCGAGGGCATTCATCCTCCTTGCATACAGAAACACACACACAATCACACACGCAAGCCACAGTTTTTCTTCGCAGCGCGGCAGGAGTCTGACTTCATCTGTCCTATTGATTGATGAAGCAGACGCAGCGGGTAGTCTGAGAGAAGCAGCAGTCTAGATCAAGGCTGTGTGCTGCATTGCTGGCAGTCACAGCACACACACATTTGTGCACACATTTGCACTTGCGCTCAAACACTTTTTTTGCCATCTCTGTCATGTTCTCTCTCTGTCTGTCACGGTAGACACTGTAGACACAGACAGCCATGAAACACAAGTGTACACGCATGCACACTGAGAGACATGACATGCACAGCAGTGCTGACACACATATAGCTTACAAAGAAAACATATAACTGTCACACAAGCACAGAGAGTGAATTAGCACGTCTTGGCTGTGCGTACGCCTAAGCTGGACAAAGATCTCTATAAACATAATGTTTGTAGATTAGTTGGGGTTAACGATCCGATTGCCTTGGCGCTGCCAGGGCATCTGTGTGTGTGTGAACGTTTTTTTTGGCCAAGGGGAAAAGGTTTTGATCTACTTTGCTGTCTCCCTACTTTCAAATGAGACATGCCCCAGGCCCCATTACAAGAGCAGTATTTATGCCATTAGGGAACTGGGTTTGCCGCCCTAGCAGTGGTACCAGAATGAAACGGCTAAAATTATGTCTTGAATAACCTCAGTGGGCAGGTCCAGTATTTTCTTTTCATAAATGAGAAATTACAAGTTGTGTACTTTACAAATTGCCTGTTGAAATATCAAACACATTTCAAACCATGACATGGAAAAGCCAAGGAAAGATATGTTTTTCTTTTTTTAGAGTGTTTGTTCTTCACAGCATAAAAAAAATCCAGATTTAGTTTTTCTCTTCTCCTTCTTTACTTTGGTGTTATAATTAGCCTTCTAGTCAAAACCAGAAATAAACTTCTGCAAACAACTTTCTTCAGTTTCTTGGTATGATGCAGTCAGTGGGTTCAAGAAGGGTGTAGTCCCTCCAAACCCAACCCCTCCTCCCCACAAACACACTCTGAGAAGCCCCTCTCATGTGAGTGCTGAATGGACAGAAAAGTACAGGAAAGAATGACTGAAAAATGACTAAGGCCCCTATTCCCCCCCCCCCCCCCAATATGATCTCCTCCTCCCTTTTACATTTTTCTCCCCAATCACTCCCTCCCTCTATCTTTCGTTCCCTCCCTTCCTCTCCTCCGGCGTTCCTGTCAAGGCATGCCTCCGTCCCCGCCAACCAGCATCGTCCGGGGCAGGGCGAGGGGGCAAAAAGAGAGGAGGGGGAGGAGGGCAAACAAAGGAGCACTGTTGCTGCCTCGCTGGGGTTTTGCGGATGGTGGACACACCAGGCTGGGGGGGGCGGGGGTGCGGTACAGACGGAGCAAGAGTGTGACTGAGGAGGTTCATCACTAAGAATAGAGATTAAAATGAATGGGAGGGGAGCAGGGGAGTCTGTTCTGTTCACAGTAATAAAGAGGACAAGCAGTGCCAGTCATTTTTTTCACATGCATCCAGACACACACACACACACACACACACACACACACAGTAGCACACAGTTGCCACACTCTCACTAACGCTACAGTTAGTGAGTGTGAGTGGGAGAGATAGGGGAGGGATGGGATGGTTCATTGTTTCCTGGCCATTGTACAATATTTGCTTAACCCGCGTGCTTTCTGTGCAGCTGTATGCTAGAAATGAGATGGTGTGTATGTGTGTCTCCACGATCACTGCTGTCACAGCTGTTAGCAATTTCATCAGTGCACTAAGACACCACCTATACACACATATAAACACATACCCTGTCAATTTATGAAGCTGTAAGGCCACGATAAAACCATTCTCCGAGCAGCACATTTACGCCTCAATTTAACCTCCACAAACAAAAACTGAAGGATGAATCGGACACAGTAACAAAAACTGAAGGATGAATCGGACACAGTAACAAGCAGATGTACTTAGGCAAACCTGTAAATGGAAATTATTCCGCCAAACGTATTCATCATTCTATGGCTCCTATTTGCCATTGGTTTCCTAGTCAGTGCTCTCTGACCCCAACTTGAACCTCTTCTTTACATTGAGGAATCTTGCTCAACTTTTCAAATACAACACTGGTGTTTGTTGCTCAGCATTGCTCAGGATTTTTAGGTTGGATTCTAAAATAGTTACCCAACACCTGGGAAGATAAAAAAAAAACATACGAAAATGACTTTCTGTAAGCACTTGCTTCTCTAGGTCATTAACTGCATTGATTTTTTCCCCAATGTGGTTCACACATGATTTCAACATGGAGAGTAAGAAACTTGTTTTGAAAGATAACTGAATTTTAGCAGCAATAACTGGAATCCCACAAGCCCTATTTTTATGAATGGAGTATTATATTTGTATTTTTTTTTATGTGTGGCGCTGATACCTTCATTTTCTAACCGATTTTTAATGGTTTTGTTTCCACTTTCTTTTCTTTTCTTGTCCATTTAAAGGAGCTTGCAGAAGAAGAAACGGAATGAACGCTAGCAGCGTTAGCCTTCACCGCAGAGGGAAGGAAGGGAAGCAGAAGATGAAATGGAGAAAAGACAAAGGTGATGAAAGAGAGGTAAGAGAGCTCAGTTTTTCCAGGGGTTATAAATTGTCTTGTGTGTGTCTGTCTTTCTGTCTTCTGTTGCCCTTCCACCTGACTCAGCTGGAAGGGTTTGGTGTATTCATGCATGTGTGTATGTATTACGTGTTTACATGGGACTATGTTTGTTTTTTGTGTGTCCCTGGCGTTGAGCCACAGCCACCTGGTAAAAACAACCATCCTGGCTGAGTACACTGCATCCTCAACTTCTCTTTTGTCTGTCTTGTGTAATTCCTTTGATATTAAATAGGCAATATACACAACATTGCATACAGTACATACTCTGAATATGTTATAACGGATAAAAGTCCGTCACTGTTGCCTCTGAACACAGAGAATCCATTTTGTATTGTTTTTTTCAGCTTCCATTACAATTATTAAAAAAAGTCAAACATGTCCGGGATGCAAGGAGTTAAAAAAGCACTGAGGGGAACAGCATGGCCACAAGGCAAAACAGAGGATTGAAACTGGGAAAAGAGCCACCGTATTGTTTTAACTGTGTTTCAGGGGTTCCCAAAGCGAGCAGTCTCTCAGAGAGTCATCTCCTCACTCTCTCTGTGTGAGCCTGAAAGCAGCAGTAAATAATTTATATCATGGCCAGAATGGCTGCCACCGTACACAGATAGGAGGATGGTTGAAGAGGAGAGGTGTGAGAAAATAAAATTGTGTTTTTCTCAGTTCTTGTCATCCTCTCTTCTTTCTTCATTCCCTAAAACACAGATTATAAAAGCTTCAACAATTTATTTGGATATAGGTAAAGAAACGATCATGATACAACCAAAAGGGAATGCATTAACAGGATTAACATTAAATATCTTTCCTGTAACATTGGCAATTATGTAATTCAAGCTGTGACAGAAAATAATACTTACTGCCTCGCTGGCGTGCCCTGCCAGTCCAAATGTCCTTTTCCTACAACTTCTGCTGTGCAATAGGAACTTTATCTCACAATGACATTCTGCAAAAGACAGAAGAAATTCAATACAGCTTTTTTCAGTTTGGCTCAACTCATTTCATTTCATCTGAGGCCAGTCGAACTAAATTCTCTCTTCTAGCTTTTCTTCCTTTGACTCACTTATATTCAGTCTGCCTGAGCCATACAATGTTCAGTTTCTCATATTTTCAAAATTCAGTTCTCTATGGTACTTACATTGTTAATGTGTGCTCCCATCTTTCTACTGCTCATAACCACCAATCAAAGTTCCAGCATTTTAAAAGACAGGGGATGATAAAAGAGATTGTCAGGGTTGTCGTGGCCCAGGATGATGGTTTGAAAGAAAAATGGGAATCTACCCTCCAAGGGACTTACAAAGGCCAAAAAAAATGTTTTAATGGTGGGAATTCCCTACATTTAAAATCTCTGTCCAAATCACCCAAGACAAAGCTGTTTTTAAATGGAGGTGAATTTTGAACTCGTTCAAGGTAGAACAGCCTTCTTTTTTTCGTCCTTTGATTCAACCAACAGGGATTAGTGGAGTCACAAGTTGTACAGCTACACACAACCCCTATCGTGTTTGGAACTGGTCAAATTATGCAAACGTACTCTGGGGAAACGTGAAAGGAAAAAGATGGAGGATGTTGTAAGCAAGAATCAAGACATGCCACTGCTCTTTCTTCTCCCTCCTTTTTCCTCAAGTGTGTCTGCCCTTTGCTCCGGGGGAAAAAAGGGTTTTCAGGAGCAGCCAAGTCTGTCTAAGCTGGCTTTAAAAAGCTACTGGACTCTAGAACCACTGTGGTACACTTTTAGTGTCCATTTGTGTATACAAAGGTGGGGTTACAAGGCTAAAGCCACAATGTGTCACACGGTTTCATATTTCAAAAAACGCATATGAGAAATGACAGGCAAATGAGTCACTCCGTCAACTCGTATTGATTCACTGCATGACTGCAGGGACAGAGCGAGTAATTGGCAGTTTCACGCTCACACAAAACTACCCGCAAATTATGCTGATGGTTTACAATGATGAGGGTTGTAGAAAACACCCTAGTTGGGGAACAGGCATAAAAGCCTGATGGACAAGTGTTGAAAATGCTAACATTTGTGTCCACACAAAGGAAAGCGTAGCACAACAGAGTGCTCCTCTATCAAAGCCTTTCCCCCCTCAGCCAAGACACCCACCAACCATCAGAGGATTACAGATTATAACGAGAGCTTTCATTGAGTTTGAAGCCACAACAGTTTCAAAATGGATGGACGGATAGAACGATGGACAGATGGATGGATAATGGATAGATGGGCATGACGGGGCAGAGATAAGGAAATTAAAACTGAGAAAGAAAATGGTGGGCAGCCACAAATTCTTAAAGTGTAGGAATAAATGAGAAAGGGAAAGATATGTTGGTGGAGATGATTTCAAAGTCAGAATGAGATAATTATCCATGTGAGAGAACCAAGAAGGAGAGAACAACTATGAAACTAGAGAAATATGAAATAAACAGAAGTCAGGGTGAGGGCCAATAGAGCAATGCCTCGAATGTCTTAGATTGCTTTGATGGATTGGATGGGGGGAGTCTGGCCCCAAGCTGCCTTCTAAATGAGGCCTCTAAATTCTCTCTGCTTGCCAATCATGTCTTTTTTGTATTGCTATGAGCATTTCAATAAATGTTTGAGTGTCTTTTAATGTTCTTTTGCTTAAAATGTAAGTCAAGAATGTGAATACAGAGAGAGGGAAAAGTCCTGTACTTTATTGAACCCCTTAGAGTTACCTGGCTCTGGCTGGAAAATAAAGGTAAATGGAGAAAGACCGAAAGGAGATTAAGAGGACAAAATTAAAGACCGAGAGTGGAGAGTAAAAATATAAGTCATTTATGAGCCATTGCTGGAAATCCCCCATTGAGAAAAAAGGAAAGAATATAGAGTTTTTATTGAATCGGCAGTACTACTGTATAAATGTCTACACTTACCAAATGAGCTTTATGCAGAACTCTGTAAAACGTGAAAAGTAATGCTTGCCCTCATTGGAAAAGAAAACAGACTGCTTGTCTAAGGGACCCTGCCCAGCCTAAGCCTAAAGTAAGCACAGTAACTTACTAAAGTCTTCAGAGGCAGAGGAAAGCTGCATATAGTTGACACTGTGAAACTCCAATCATTGTAAACATGACTGCAGATTGATTTGAATGGAAAACGCAATTAATATCAATATCTTTGGGAGCATGATTTATAAAAGATAGCAGATGAAAAAGTCCCTTTCAAAATGAAAGCCTTTAACTACATTCAGATATTGTATATGTAGGCTAACCAGATTCTAGAGTTGTGACAGATGCTGTGGGTAGATGGAAAAATAACATTTTTCACCAAAAGAAGAAAAATGTTTTCTATCCTTTAATCTTTGAGTACATAACCTCTTAAACAAATTGAAATGACAACAACAATGCCATATAGTCGAAAGTAATACAACTTTAATATAGTTTGTATATCATAATAATTGTATTTGTAAACCTTAAAGGTCCCATGTCATGCTTTTCCGGTTATTACCCGTCCCCTTGTGTGTTATGAAGGTTTTTATGCATGTAAACGGTCTGCAGAGTCAAAAACCCTCAAAGTACACCCTGTAGCGAGTAAAACTCTAACACAGAAAAGACCTGTCTATGCTGCCCCAAAACGCCTCGTTGGAGATTTCTCATTTTCCATTGTTTTCTTCCTGGGTTCTGTGACGTGTCAATACCCAAATGGACCAATCCGTGGAGCACCTCACTCACCAGGATCCCTTGGCTAACAGGGAGTCCCCATTGACTTGCATAGCGCTCCCTGAACGCTGGTAATAGACGAGTTGGGATCGCGGAGAAATGCTCTCCGCAGACCCATTCTCACAGCGTTATAAACCTTTTTCTTACTCAATATCAAGCCACACTTATTGTTTTTACTTCGGCTGTGAGTTTTTGTGTGTGCTCAGGATGAGTTTCGCTGTGTCTCGCTGTATCGCCGACCCGGAAACCTGTCCGCTCCTCGCAGCAGCGAGCTTCGCAACGTCCCGACCAATCGGAGCACACTGGGCTCACAGGGAGGGGGGGGCAGGAGCTCCAACAAGCCGTTTAGGACAGAGAGTGAATACCTGGTGAATACACATACTATACAGAGAGGCTGTATGAGAAACCAATGTGATTTTGGAAAATTGCACAATTTAAATCTATTTTAGTATACCTCAACAATGGAAATATGATCAGTAGAAATGGCCATGACATGGGACCTTTTAACTGTCCACTTTTCATTGGCATTTTGTGGTTTTCATCTAGACATCCTATGTGCTGTATATAAGAAAAATAATAACAATGGTAATTTCAGGCATTGTGATTTTTGTTTTCGAGAAGGAAAATTCCAGAGTACATTCTTATCTTTTGTCAGTGACTTATTCTGAGTTCATGAGCCGTGCGAACAACTTTTGCTTATTTTGATAGCAGGGGGCAAAGAGGTGTCTCAACTTGCCACGCTACAGGAGCTGTATAACAGTCGCCTTTTTTCTGCTGGGTTTTATCAGTGGATGGGAGAATGAAAAGGAGTCAAAGGCAGCCCCCTAAGCTTTCCATAATGCGTCCCGAGAGGAGACAAAGGCCTGCATTCACTGCTGGGAGTCGATAAGACCTATCATTAGTCTGCCATTGGAGGTATTACTGTCACACACAAACACATGTATACACACACATACATCTACACAGAATGCAGTATAGTATATATTTCTGCACCCATTCACTTGTTCCACAAACATACGCATACATTTGTGTGTGCGTGCCAGAGGAGTGAAAGACGCAGCCAGGCTCGACTTGAATCAAATGAAAGCAGAGAAGTGGACTCCCTGCTGCTTTCCCATCACAGCAGATTTCACTCAGCCTCACATTGCCTTGGCATCTACACTCAGCTGAACCCACTTTGTTTTCGATAACGATAAAGAATGCACACAACCCTTAAACTGATGTTGAAATGCACACCTCTACTGGCCTTTATTATTAAGAATAATTAGGTTACTTCTCAACAGCAATCGATACACTTTAATGTAACGTGTTGGATTTTTAATCTCATATCTTTGTAAGATTAATGGTGGTTTATTCCCAAAAAATGCAGGATATTTGCGCAATCAGCTGACTGACAACATGTACACACTGCAGGTAAAAGGCCAAAGGAAGCTTCCAGCTGTCTTGATGATGGAACTCCTTGTAATAATACCAATGTCTCGGAATTAATGTGGTATTGACTTATTGATGACAAAACGCTACACATCGTGCATTTACTTAAGAAGACAGGCGTAATATTAGGTGCAAAAGGAGGAGGATGGTTGGGTTTCCTATTAGGGTTTTTGTGTGTGTATGTGTGTGTGTGTGTGTGTGTGTGTGCACATACTTACGGGAGGACGACGGCACTGCTGTCTGGGTCCTAAGTAGATGATGGACCGTAGCTCGTATTTCCCATTCCCTCTCATTAGCTCAGCCCCCGAGAATATATGAGGTTACTTACCTTCCCTTGCTCTTCCGGCCAAAACGCCAAGCGTCGGCTCAGGGTCATTAGCCTCGCAGCTTGGAACAAATGGCCTTCGATAGCATCGTCACTAAAATACAACAGACGCAGATTAACCCCTTGATCATTGGTGGATATCATTTTGAAAAGATTAGGAAGGAAACGGAAGACAGGGTGATGGCCATTTTGTTTATTTTTAGCCTCGTCCATCTTAAATTTGCTTTTTTTGGATGGTGCTTTTATTTTTTGCAGCATTACAGATTTTAGGAGTCCTCCTTAGTGGACGCTTGGAATCTCTTTGCATCTCAACTAAACATCACAGTAGTTGAAAAAAACAACAAAGAGAGAAGTTGGCAGAGGATCAAAGCCCTAGGAGGATGTATCTGGCAGATAGCTGCTGTGGTCCTGCCTGTAGACTATCTCTTTATGTCTTTATTTTCTCGATGCGGACACCGCTTTGTTGCCCCCCTCGTACTGCCAGCTTGATTATAGATCATGAAAAGAACAGGGCAGTCACAACAACCTCCTCCCATGAGCAGACGCCTTTTTATTACAATGTGCGTGTGTGCGCGCACATCCAAGGGTCTGGCTTTATACAGATTTTGATATTGATGGCATTTCATACCACCTCTTTTGATATGGCTAACAACTCACCCACTTTTGTATTACGTCCTGCAGATTTTGTTATCAAAACCACCTCTGCAGGAACTGTAAAAGTCTGGGATCATTTAAAGGTCTCAGGGTACAGGAGGAGATAATCCTACAGTCAATGATATAAAGTCAAATTGTCTTTGTAACCTCAGTAAAAATAACTCCACAAAGTACTGAATAGGTTTATTTTCATCTAAAGCCGATGTGTCCATCAAAAAGTTCTTTCCATAAGGCTTCGCTGAGGTTTGTGGCCTGTTGATGGGGGGGGCTCCTCAGATGTCTGTTTTGGGAAGAAAGACACGCCCAGAGAATGGATATAATTAAGACTAGTGACTTTCTTTTCTTTTTTTTGTGAGTAAGGAGGGTGTTTGGGTAACTGCTATGGGTGGTCTAGCTCTACATGCCTGTGCTAGTTTTATTATAAACAGGTACAATATTGTTAGAAAACAGACATATACAGACAAAGCACAAAGATCAGTATATGTTCAGACATTAAAGGTCAAAATGCAAACAGTCATGTCACTTGTATCCATGTCTGATAGCACAGCAGACCAAACAAATGAACTGATCAGAACAGTGGGTACAGAACATCCATGTAGGTACACTCGTAGAGATCACTAAACAGTTAGTCATTTGGAATGTAACATCAGTCTATTTATCTGGATTCCTTAATATGTGATAAATCTTACTTAATCTTACAGATTCATGCTGATCTTTATGTAAAAAAAAAAAGCATTTTATATATACCGTTACCGTAGAAATATGTACATCCCTACTATTTAAGATATTTTTTCAATGTGCACATATTTAGCTCAAAGAACCCAATTGTAAGATCTTTTTCCCATTTTGAAGGTACGTGTTTTTTAATGGTACCTGGATATGCAGGATTAAATATTATTTTTACAACATACTGTCTTATAACATCAAGTATGTCTAATTAGCTTACACACATTGTTTCTGACCAACTTCCAAACAAACGTAAATTATACAAGGCTTCCTTTATTTTGTGGAAAAAGAACAAAAACTGCAGACCAGTCAATCCTTTTCAAACAATCCTGATTAATGTGAACACATAAACACCATGTGTACCATGGAACCCACAAACATCTGTTAATTTGCAACTTCTTATTTTCCGTTCACATGAATTGGCTCATTTAGCCAAACACAGATCTTTTATTGTTGCATCTTGTTTTGAGGGGGCTTAAAAATGTGGGTGGCCTCTGTCTTTTTTTCATGTACTGAGCAGCACATGGATCTGTTAATGAGGGCATGAATTGGTGACTCAGTGCCGGGACCCTAATGACTGAGGTCCCCTCCCTTGGTTCAGCAAGTCTGCTTACTGGAGCAGAGAAAGGGAGTGATGGGAGTTTGAGAGAGCAAAAACAATGAGAGAGAAATGGAGAAGTAGGAGAGAAATTACGCAGGACGTGGTTATAAAAACCTAGCATTTGTAGGAAGCTACGTACAAAAGCAGCAGTAGCTGAAGGATACATTTCCTCTGCAAGACAGAAATAGTAAATTGCATATTCTGGCAGATGCAGGCAATTGAACAGAGTGGGACTTTAGAAAGAGAAACAAGGGGCGCAGTTCTTAAGCAGCATAAAAGGTTTAATTTCTCCTTCAGCTGTGGCGAGCAGCTTTCCTGTGCGGCACTGTTTTACTGTATTTAACATCAAAGTGAAGTATTAACAATTGAGGCAATTTTTCATCTGGCCAAGGTCAATCATTGTTCTTTCTCTGAGTGGTGAGAGGAATTCAGAGGAACAATATTTCACTGTGTTAGCAAGCCACATTTAAACAACCCTTTGGAAAGATTTCTCTTCTTTGTGTGATGTTTTTCATTTGCAAATAGGTTTTAAGATTGTACTTCTAGGACATTTTCAGCTCCATTTATTACAGCCATCTAGTGAGTGTTTCATAAAGCTGAATCTAGATTGTTTAAAAATATACATGGGACTCACTGCATGACATATGAAAGAAAAAGAAGATTAATGAGAGCATAACATACTACTACTGCAAATCAAATGTCAAGGTTGAAGTTGGCCTTAGACTCAGACACACAGAAATGTGTAGTTTAGGATCGTCAAACTTGTCCTGGATCCCATTAAAGGTTTAAGACTCCCATATTTACAATGTTTACACAAAACCAAAAATAAAACTGGTTAGAACATAAATGCTAAAACAGCAAATGTAGACTTTGCCAAGGACAACATTTTTCCTGATGCAAAGAGGACTATGACAGCCTTCGACTACTATGACAGCCTTCGACTACAAGGACTACGAACATCAAGGTGCTCAAAGACATAAATAAGGGCAGAAGTAGTTACTAAAGTGATGAATATGTCAGTCTTGTACAGTAATTGTAATGTGCTTATTGACTACAAATGAACCCACAGCTTTCAGAATACACAGTTGCACTCATAAGTCACATGGGAGACCAAATGGCCCTCGAATCAAAGAAAACATCAGGGGAGAATAACTATGATGGAAAAACAGTCATGTATTTTAATGATACTAGTAATGATAATAACAAGAAACATAAGAAGGATCACCATCTGCAGCCCCATTTGACTTCTCCCTCTCCCTCTCCAATTCTTCTTTTCTTTTGCTAGGGTAAAAAAGGTGGCAGAAAAAGTGCAGCGTTAGCCTTTCAAATAACAGACACACATCATACACATAGAAAATGTTTTATCCTTTTATAATACTTTTCCTTTGACATCTCATTGAAAGAAAGTCATCGACTCTCAGTTATCTCATTTTGTTGGTATATTCAATATATTTTCAGGTTAAGATGAATACCATCTGGTCAACTTTAGATGTTACGATCAGAAATTATTTTTTTATAATTCATTCTGTCTCATCACTCCCAGCCTCACCGTGCTGTGGGCATGTCAAACACAGACATTATTTTTATTTAGGCTAGGGCCCCACGAAGAAGCACATTAGTGACATTTCAGCTTTATCAGAAGAGACATAAAAGCCGTGGCGACACGCAATCACTTCTTGGCATCTTTTATCTAGGTCTGTTTTTACAAATTGGCTTCAAAGGCTGATTCCATATGTTTTTGTTAGAGCGTCTCTTGTTCTTGGGCATCACAGTAGTTGGCTTTCATCCACTCAGCCTAGGTCCAAACGTTTTTTATTATAAGAAGAATCATGTGATAATGTACACACACGGCGGCTGCTTGTCATTGTTTCTCAAGACCACCCAGAGTGTAAATAGGAATTTAGTTGTGAGTGGGCTTGTTGAACATATGACATGAAAGTGCCGACTTACAGCTAATACGCTTACACACATCAGTCTGTCCTGTTGAATAATTGAAGTGCACATCAAAGAGTGTGTGTGTGTGTGTGTGTGTGTGTGTGTATGACATTTTAATAACATGGTATACCAAACAACACCTGAATTTATCCTGTGCTTTCTTCTTCTCTGTTTGTTTTCTGTCCAGGTCCAGACATGAAGGAGACACAAATTCAAACGCGCACACATGCAGCGGCACTAAGAGTCTGTCTGCGGTCTCCCCCCACCCTGCCTCACACACACATACCTGTTACGGTAAGAATCAGAGACCACCGAGTTAGGGGAATAGTAACGGTGTGAATGTGAGGAAACAAACTCATTATCCACCGCTATGTTCTCCTCTTAGTAGTTTAAAGACAAATTGGATACTGACTTCTATTCCAAAATGCTCTGAATTAACTAATACAAAAATAATTAGCTGAATTCATTTATTTAACTTGTAAAAAATACTATATTGGTGCTAGTAAATAGACTTTTTAAAAAGGGGGTGACTTATTTTGGAGCAAATTTTTATTTATTCAATGCTATTTTAATTGTGTGTCTACGGCCATGTTTAGTGTGTGTGTGTGTGTGTGTGTGTGTGTGTGTGTGTGTGTGTGTGTGTGTGTGTGTGTGTGTGTGTGTGTGTGTGTGTGTGTGTGTGGTGTGTGTGTGTGTGTGTGTGTGTGTGTGTGTGTGTGTGTGTGTGTGTGTGTGTGTGTGTGTGTGTGGTGTGTGTGTGTGTGTGTGTGTGTGTGTGTGTGTGTGTGTGTGTGTGTGTGTGTGTGTGTGTGTGGTGTGTGTGTGTGTGTGGTGTGTGTGTGTGTGTGTGTGTGTGTGTGTGTGTGTGTGTGTGTGTGTGTGTGTGTGTGTGTGTGTGTGTGTGTGTGTGTGTGTGTGTGTGTGTGGTGTGTGTGTGTGTGTGTGTGTGTGTGTGTGTGTGTGTGTGTGTGTGTGTGTGTGTGTGTGTGTGTGTGTGTGTGTGTGTGTGTGTGTGTGTGTGTGTGTGTGTGTGTCCCCGCCTGCTTCCTCTTTTCTCTCTTTCCGTCCCACCCCCTCCTGCGTCCCGTCCAGTTTCCCGGCCGCCCCCCCCCTCCCCCCCCCCCCCCTCTCCAGCCCCCCTTCCCCCCCCAGTTGCCCCCTCCCACTGCTTCCCAGCGTCCTGCTTCGCCCCTCCATCCAAAAAAAAACATGCGTGCTGAAATTACAGTGCGTGAGGCGGCATTGTGGGAAACCCTTCCCTCCCTCTCACTCCCTCTGTTTGCCCATCTTGTCCCTTCGTATCTTTTCCTCATTTCGCTACTGTTTTAGATTGGTTTGGGCAGGGTTTCTTTATTCATTCATTAAACTGTAAAACAGCTGTCCATGCTGATGTACAGTTACTCAAGTTCAGACAAAGGTTAAAAAGGTGGTCTTGTGCCCTAAATGTCCTTTAATTATACAAATAAGTGTTTATTAATGTATTACTAATGGATATAATAACAGTAGTAATTCTAGAGAAGCAAATAAAAGAATAAACCAGATGTTTCCAGCTTTAGGTTAAATGGCAGCACCGCCCTCACAGCAACCGTGTTACTAACCGGCTTTAATGACACACTCCATCAGTTCGGCTTATCCGGCGCAGGGCTAGTTTGGTTAACAGTCGGCCGAGGTGCGGCATGAGAGTGTGTGTGTGTGCGTGTGCCGGCTATTAAAGCACTTGAGAATCAGAGAGGAAAGGACTTGCACTGCTAATGGATGTGTCTATTGATGTTCCCATTTAGCAGCACACTGTAAACGATAGGGCAATGATTGTGTTGAAGACGGAGGGGGGAGGAGGAGGAGTGGAGAGCGGTTTGGCTGGGCGATGATAATGACAAGGAAGGTTATTATTTGGCGCCCTGCGGAGTCTCTGCTTTGTGAGTGTGTGTGGTTGAGCAAGTGGGAGAGAGAGAGCGGCACTCTTCATCCATCTCTCTCGCTCATGTCGCTCTCCCAGCCTATTGGCCATTATTCACTTCTCGCTTGTTCTCCTCAGTCTGCTCTCCTCTCTCATGACATTATTCACTGCTGCTAGTCTGCATCCAATTGTGGCTGACTCTCTCACACCTACTTCTATATCTCTTTTCTCAATGGCCCTCCTTTTATGAACGCACTGTTCCGATTTCCTATGGGATGATAAAAAAATGCAGAAAAATAATAATGCAGTAGAGGTGGCAAAAGGGTTTCTTGTTATATCTTTTTTTAGGATAGCAGATTGCCCTTGAAATATTGATTTGCTCACCAGTAGATTCTTTTTCCCCATCTGTGTGTGTTTGTCCTGTCAGTTCCAATCACTGTGTGTGTACTTGTGTGTGTGTGGGGGTGTCCTGTCAGTTCCAATCAGTGTGTGTGATGAATATGAATACAGTCAGCCTGCCTGCAGGTTTGGCAGGAGACCACCTCCAGCTGGACTCAGACCCTACTCAAGTGTGTCCGTGTGTGTTTTGTGAGCGTGGCTGTACACGTCAGCCTGCATCTGTCAGCGCCGTGACAACCTGAGGATGAAATAACTTAAAAATATACAACATAATATTAATCTTGGCACACGAGGCTTCCAAAGCATTTTAACAGAGAAAAAGCAGCCAATGTTTGCACAAGTGGGATTCAACCCCCTTTTCTATGTTTTTAGATGTACAAAGGACCTCTAAGGATTCAAATGCTTTGAACTTAGATAGAAATGCACATTATTTCTAGTTATGGTAATTTCTTTTCAAATGTTAGGGGGTTTCATGTCCATGATTCAGTGCGCACACAGCCTTCTTCACTTACATTCCCTCAATTACTATAATCATAATCAGCCTCATTCTCTCCAGCCCAGCTTGTGTGCATTTTCTTGTAAACTGTTTATTGTTTGCTAGAAGATATATTAGATCAGTTTTTTGAATTAGTAAGATCTTGTCAGTTTTGTAAAAGTCTATATATCTTTTCTCCGTGTGTTTTTGTGTCTCTAATTGCAGGGCAGCAGATATGGAGGAAGACGCCTTTCCAGCTGTGAGGAGACAGAAAAAGTCAACACACACTCACATAAACACACACACACACACTGAGCCGGAGGCACATGAGCAGGTGAGCATTAAGTCAGGCAGCTAAACAGATCACGTCGCGGTATGATATCTGTAGACAGGCAGACAGGAGGAGGCCGGTCTCTACCTGCAGGCAGAGAGCAACAACTCACAGCACCTTCGCCAGGAATGTCCTCCCCCTCCTGAGAGGGAGAGAAAGGGAGAGGGACATACAGAATGAAGGGGAGACACACATAAACTGAGGATTCCACTTAAGTGTTTTTCTTGCAAACCAAATATTTTGAGTCTGATGAAAATCTCCCAGAAAGATTTTTATTTTTAAGAACTTTTTCAGATACATGAAGAAAAAAAAAGCCGTGAAGACAAATGTACTGATGCAATAAGAGGCATCTAATTCAGCACAGCCTACATTTACAAAACAGGCTTTGGACATTTTGAGTTTTAGTTTTTTACCCAGATCTCTTACAAATGTATAGACCAAGTGAGATGGATGAATAGAGCAAAAATATATGCTCTTACGTTGGCAAAAGGTAGCACAAAAATCCCCTCCTTTTGTCACATTTTTAGCCCAATATTCTCCCTTCACCACAGTTGATGAAAGGATATCCTTTGACATTAATAAAGAACAGCACATTCACACGCTTCTTCAATGTCGAGCGGCGATGGTTCTTTTGTTATTTAGGAGTAATTCAATCACTTCCAGAATGATCTGTCATTCTGAAATTACTGAGGTGTTTTGACAGTGTCCTGGTACTAATTGTGACACTTTGACAGTATCCGTTACACAAACTTGTTCTGCTAGTCTTCTTTTGTTAGCGCACCTTGGAGCAGGTTTGACATTCCTCTTTTTTTCTCAGCATATTGGCTTTTATCTGTGTCACATTCACACTAATTCCACCTTGAGTGATGCCCATTGCCGTTTTGGCTTCCTACTGCGAAGCTTCACCATACCAACTTCCAGTTATGTTAGTGCTCAAGACTAAATAATTGAGTACTATCAGTTACGGGTCCTGCACATATTTTTCCAACTGGTACAGCAATTGAATACCTCTTTATATCACCAACTTGCTTCTCCTCTGTTCTATCAACCCGTGAATTGAAGTTGTTTTAGCCATTAGGCAGATTGTCCATGTTCTGTGAACACCATTATTCCTTAGCGTTTGACTTGTCTTATTCAAAGCTCTTTATATTTAGCCATAAAAGCGCCTCCTGAAATCTTTACAAGTCACAGCTCTCCCCACACAAACTACCACATCCACTTATCTAAAAATGATTCAGTGGTTAAATGTCAGAGCTGTCTGTGCCATTAAGGCCAGCATGTTTGAAGGAAGGACACCCTTGCCTGCCCTCTCCCTCCTCCCCCACCCCTGTCTCTTCTCATTCTTCTCACTCTCTATCTTCGTCTTCCTCTCCCCCCTTAGCTGCCTCATCATCTACCCCCCCCCCCCCCCCCCCCCCCCCCCCACACCCAGCACAGGCTGGTTTGAGGGCTAATGTGCAGACCTTGTCATTCAGATTAGGGCCACATTGTCAGCTCAGGGCCCTTCTCTCTCTCTGGTTGCGTGTCCAGGATCTTTTCTTTTTGTATGCTGTCACCCTCGTCCTGCGGCCAGAGAAGACCTTATAAAGCAACATTACTTCTCATCCACTTCTGTCAATTCCAACACTGTCACTCAAATCACTGTTCAGGACAGTGGAGAGAGGCCGAGTTAGCAGTGTCCCTCGCAGCAAGGACTGTGCTTTTTGGCCCGAGCTTGGGTGACGTGTCACAGCTAGGAACTGGTTTTTGATTGAAGTCACTATTATTTTTGCTCACAAATGACAAGCTTTTCAGAGGGAGGAGTAAAACAGAAACTGACAAAGTAGAAGCAGCTCTTTTGATCCAAAGAATAAAACGGAAACAACACAATCGTTGCTTTCAGTTGTGAAGTTGAAATTGAAGTTTCAAAAAAATCTTCACATGTTTATACTCATTGTGTTTTTCTAAATAGTAAAGGCTTTCAGAGTCGCAGTGTTATTTTTAACTTTCTGTTTTCCTGTGTGAAAATAGTGTTTAGCAGGACCAGACATATTCACCACTTCATCTTGGTCACTCTTTATCCTGCTGTAAAAGAGTTCCAGTACCTTATTTATCATCCACCACATCTTGACTCACTGCCACTTTTTTTTTGTCAAGTCGTATCTAATTGCAACAGCAGCTCTGTGGCATTTGATAGATCTGCTTCTTACAAAGTCTGCTGGTTTCTCATACTCATGGTGATGAACAATGATTCAGCAATGTGTAATAAACCTTCATACAAGATAGCGGACAGTTTCCTTACTGGTATTAGTACATGAAGAGAAAAATAAAAACACCCTAGACTTCAGCCACAGTGCCACATCATAGTGAAACACCATATGCTGTTGATATGGGCGAGTCAACAGTTTCATACTCAAAGTCGTCCTCATCCTCCACCTTGCACAAAGACTTGTTGGTGTCTATAAGGGGCCACGCTGCTGTGCTTTAACAAAGCATTTGGCTGCAGCCTCCACCCAGGTGCTGCGTGTAAAAACCCACTATGAGTCAGGAGTTTCGAGATGACTTCCCTCTTCTAACTGCTACTTGCGGTAAAGGGAAATGTGTTCCTGCACACTGACACTGTCTTCTGTGACATAATGACCATGTGTTATGGATATTAATAGTGCATGCAGCTCTCGATCCTATCCAAAGTAGGTACTGCTTTTTTGCACAGGGGACCACAGTTATTTTAATAATTCTCATAAATTGCATTTTATACACACACACACACACATAACAGCATGTTTCTGTTTGTATATGAATCATGTCTCTTATATGTGAAAGGCCAACATCAGGTGCAAAGAGTACAAAAAGCTGAATTTCTTTTTTTTTTTAAGCATGCCTGTCATATTTATCAGTAGGTCTCTACAAGGCAAACTACTAATGTTAAGCTCAAGAAAAATATTGTTTCGATGTCTGTATTCCTTTGCCGAATGGAATAGATAGCATCATCAAAGTACGACTTTTTTAGTGTCCTTTCCGGCTCAGAGAATAAAAAAGTGATTTAGTGAGAGGAGGAGGGGAGGGGGGGGGGGAAGAAGTAAGATGGCTCTCCACCCACACAGAAGTCCTGCTCCCTCTGCATCTCTAAGCAGACTGTCATCCCTGGTCACCATCAGGTCTATGCTCGCCCCAGTGAACATTCAACGCTGTCGGTGAGTTTCAACGAAATTGAAAACCATCGACCGTTGATTGTACCCTGTGGCCAGCCTTTTGTCACTGTGTCCCAAAAAAGAAGGCAAAAAGGTAAGACACAAGCAGAAACGAAAAGTCCAATGAAGAGAACGGCATCCATCGTCAACACTCGGCTTCCAAACCACAGCAAAGGTCACAATTAACATTCATTGCTGTCGGTGGGTTTAACTATGTAGAAAAGCTCGCTGAACGATGAATGCAACTGTGTCCCAGATCTCATCTGAACGTCAAAAGGAATAGCGTCACGATATGCTGATGATGGCATTTTTTTCCTCTGCCTATCTCCCCCCTTCGCCTCCCACTGACAACAGGCCCACACAGGCACGGTGGATTGACAGGCAGTTCAGATTGTATCTCCATCTCGCTTGCTAAAGGCGTAGGGGTCCAAGAGAAAAGATGCACGAGGTAGTTGGAGGATATGACCTTTAGAGAAATATGCACTGAGAGAACATGGCGTATTGCATCTAGGGTAGGATATATTATTTAGCTGTTTTAAATATTACATAGAAAAAGAACAGAAATAATATGTAGAATTTGAATAGATGACTTTCCATTTGACAACTGACCTTTTTGGATAATTATCCAGATTTAGCCATTAAAAGTCATACTTTTATTAACCAAACATCTTCAGATAAGATATGTCATTGTTTTTTAAACAATAAAGTCAGTTTGGTTAAACAGATACTGAAATGACATTAAAATGGTAGAATGTCATATTACTCTCAGCTGTATATAAAATGCCGATGACAATTGCATTTCATTTATGTTTTCCTACCAAGCAAATCTTTAAGAACTCTTAAGTGGTAAAACTCAACTGTGTTTTTGTTATAATACTGCATGCTATTACAATGTGTTGTATTTTATCAAATAAAGTTACCAGTTCTGCTCTAAATGATGAAGTGAGTCTTTCTTTGTTCCTTTTTTTCTTTGGTTTGGTTTTAGATGAACACAACACTGATCTAATGCATATTAAAAATATATATATATAATAATCAGTATTACCAACTATTGGTGAGGTTTTGTTATCAATCAACACGTATTCTTGACATTCATAGTATAAATGCAATGTATGAATATACAGTAAATTATTGAAATACTGTGTATGTGGTCTTGTACATTTTTCTCTATAAAGATTGTGTAGTTATTTTATAGAAATATATTTTGGTTGTATAATGGTACAAACAACCCACATAATATTATATCAGTAGTTACCAAATATTAATAAACAAAAATAAGTTGCAATGTCAACTAACCCCACAAAACGTTCATGACTGCAATGCAATCATAGACACAAATGCAAACAAATGACACTTGCCTCTTCATTGCCTAAATTCTTTAGACCTTAATGTAAACTAGTATGCTATGTAATGTTAAGATTGGTAATTATTTAATCATTGGCAGGTTTAATGGCGCTTCATTTATATTAAGCCAATGTAATGTAAATAAAATAAATATGAAATAGTTAAAGACGGCTGCTTATCCAGCTTGCCTAGGTGAGAACACATTTTGCAAAATACAATGTGAGACTATATAATTACCACTGCATGACAAGCAAGAGATAAGGAACAGTATTGGTGCAACATGGAAAATACCCATTGATGTGGTATTTTTCATTTATGCACCATGGGTCACCATCAGTAATTCTAAGCTTTCAAAAATAACCTTCAACAAAGTTCTGGGGGTATGCTGTAACACTGATGTGTTAAATATGTATACTGCTGTTTGATTGCTGCCTATTACAGAACCTATTTATTCTGCAATTTTAAGACCATTATCTCAAAAGTCCTAATTATGAAATGTGTGCATGGTACAGCAACTATTTGAATGCCAATAGTTTAGAGTCAAGACACTCATTGTCTCATCAGGCCACAGGGCTGACATTTGACCAGGGCATTTACTGTGTGAACCACAGTGATGCTAGTAATACAATATTGGCTTACCACTAGATAGCTACAGATCTATGAAACACAATGAGTCATG